TATCCGACAGAACAATACCCTTTTTTCAAGCTAATTATTATCAGAGTGTGTGGGTGTAAATGTGCATGTGTGTGTTCGTTTGTCACAATTTGTGAACATTTGGATAATTTCATATTCATAGAGCAGTTATTAACACGTATATGCAATTAATTAAACATTTTATCCGGGGGAGATACCATCACCCAACTGCATAGCCATTAAAATGAAGTTTTAAGTGCTGGTCAAGTCATTTCGATGGTTGGATTGCCTCGAAATCCTTTCAGTTAAGTTTTAACTTTGAAAGCGTAATGTCTACCTCGGTTCTAGTTCTTCCACGAAGTGTACAAATATTTTTTCGTGATATTCGTAAGCCGAGAGATATTTATGCTAGTCTGCGGTTATTATTTCTGGTCACCTTCTTGGCCGGGGTGCTACCTTTGGAATTTCGGTCCTTGCCGCGGAGACATTTGAAGTCTTCCATAGTTTCCTTTGCCTATGTCATTTGTATTTGGATTTTCTTGTTGTTTATTCTAATCTATCTTCAGGTTGCACAAGAATCGGTTATGAAACACCTGCGTTCATCGAATGTCTCGAAATTTACGGATAATATGCGTCGCTTTAACGGTTTGTTCGGTGTATTGGTTACGATGTTTTTAAGTCTTTGACGTTGTCGGGTATTTGTAAAATTAATCGAACGATTGGATAATTTAGAGATACGTTTGGCCCATTTGGGTTTAAGGTTCTGGCGTCGAAATAATGCATTTTGGATTAATCTAACAATTGTGTGCTTAAGTGCTGCCAATGTGGCATTCTTTGCATATGGTTCGCTGGTCTTTAGTTTGAATCACGTCGACGTAATACCCTTAGCTTGGATCTCATTCTTTTCACCACATTTAATTGTCAGCAGTATTGTGATACTGTTCAATGCCATGATGCAGACTCTGGCGTTGTATTTTAGAGCTTTCAATAAGGTAAATATGACGAAAACAAATTCACAAAAATCGAATACTAAATAAAAAAATCGGAAGGCTGTAACAAATATCCTTAAGAACATATTTTAAAAAATCCACGACTTGTCGTAGTCCTTAAAATATATTTCAAAAATCCACGACTTGAAGTAGTCCTTAAAATATTTTTAAAAAATTTACGACTTGTCGTAGTCCTTAAAATATTTTTAACAAAACAAAGCCTTGTTTTGGTCCTTAACCCTTTGCGGCCCAATGTTGCCCACAGGCAACAAAATGTTTTAGAGCTTATATTTATTATACAGCTAGTAGATGTGCATTCTTTGGAATTCCTATGTCAAGACCTAATTATGGATGACACATATCACAAGAAAAATCCAAAAAATTTAAATTTTTGGTAAAGTTATGAGCTTTTTAATATAGAGAAGAGGGCAAAAATGTGTACAGTACTAATTTGTGTATACAGTCCAAATTAATTAAATCGCTTCGTATCCGAAATGTACGAAATCTATCATTTAAATTGTTTTTAATTCTTTTAAAGCAGAATATAGAGAATAATTTAAAGTGATATTTTCGTCGATTTTGCATTTAGTTTTCTTGATATTGCGCTTTTATTTTCCAGAAAGAAGGTACTCTATCTCCCGAATGCAAGGATGAAGCGATGTCAAATTTTGTCCATATCCTATCTAGGATAGTTGCATTAAATCTGTGAACAGAAAATTGTTCCATGATTACGAGAAAAAATTCGGGGCTCAAAGGGTTAAAAATATTTTTAAAAAATCCAAGCCTTGTTTTGGTCCTTAAAAATATTTTTAAAAAATCCAAGCCTTGTGTTGACCCTTAAAAATGTTTAAAAAAATACACGCCTTGTGTTGGTCCTTAAAAAATTTACGCCTTGTGTTGATCCTTAAAAAAATTACGCCTTGTTTTGATCCTTAAAAAATTTACGCCTTATGTTGATCCTTAAAAAATCCACGCCTTGTCTTGGTCCTTAAAAAATCCACGCCTTGTCATTGGTCCCTAAAAAATCCAAGCGTTGTGTTGGTCCTTAAAAAATCTACGTCTTGTGTTGATCCTTAAAAAAATTACGCCTTGTTTTGATCCTTAAAAAATTTACGCCTTATGTTGATCCTTAAAAAATTTACGCCTTGTGTTGGTCCTTAAAAAATCCACGCCTTGTGTTGGTCCTTAAAAAATCACGCCTTGTGTTGGTCCTTAAAAAATCCACGCCTTGTGTTGGTCCTTAAAAAATCTACGTCTTGTGTTGGTCCTTAAAAAATCTACGCTTTGTGTTGGTCATCAAAAATCCACGCCTTTTGTTGGTCCTTAAGAAATCCACTCCTTGTGTTGGTCCTTAAGAAATCCACTCCTTGTGTTGGTCCTTAAGAAATCCACGCCTTGTTTTGGTCCTCAAAAAATCACGCCTTGTGTTGGTCCTTTAAAAAATCACGCCTTGTGTTGGTCCTTTAAAAAATCACGCCTTGTGTTGGTCCTTAAAAAATCCACGCCTTGTGTTGGTCCTTAAAAAATCTACGTCTTGTGTTGGTCCTTAAAAAATCTACGCTTTGTGTTGGTCATCAAAAATCCACGCCTTTTGTTGGTCCTTAAGAAATCCACTCCTTGTGTTGGTCCTTAAAAAATCCACGCCTTGTGTTGGTCCTTAAGAAATCCACGCCTTGTTTTGGTCCTCAAAAAATCACGCCTTGTGTTGGTCCTTTAAAAAATCACGCCTTGTGTTGGTCCTTTAAAAAATCACGCCTTGTGTTGGTCCTTAAAAAATCCACGCCTTGTGTTGGTCCTTAAAAAATCCACGCCTTGTGTTGGTCCTCAAAAAATCACGCCTTGTGTTGGTCCTTAAAAAATCACGCCTTGTGTTGGTCCTTAAAAAATCCACGCCTTGTGTTGGTCCTTAAAAAATCTACGCCTTGTGCTGGTCCTTAAAAAATCCAAGCTTTGTGTTGGTCATCAAAAACCCACGCCTTTTGTTGGTCCTTAAAAAATCCACGCCTTGTCTTTGGTCCCTAAAAAATCCACGCCTTGTGTTGGTCCTTAAGAAATCCACGCCTTGTGTTGGTCCTTAAAAAATCCACGCCTTGTGTTGGTCCTTAAAAAATCCACGCCTTGTGTTGGTCCTTAACAAATCACGCCTTGTGTTGGTCCTTAAAAATCCACGCCTTGTGTTGGTCCTTAAAAAATCTACGCCTTGTGTTGGTCCTTAAAAAATCCACGCTTTGTGTTGGTCATCAAAAATCCACGCCTTTTGTTGGTCATCAAAAATCCACGCCTTTTGTTGGTCCTTAAGAAATACACGCCTTGTGTTGGTCCTTAAAAAATCCACGCGTTGTGTTGGTCCTTAAAAATCTACGCCTTGTGTTGGTCCTTAAAAAATCCACGCTTTGTGTTGGTCATCAAAAATCCACGCATTTTGTTGGTCCTTAAAAAATCCACGCCTTGTGTTGGTCCTTAAAAAATCACGCCTTGTGTTGGTCCTTAAAAAATCCACGCCTTGTGTTGGTCCTTAAAAAATCACGCCTTGTGTTGGTCCTTAAGAAATCCACGCCTTGTGTTGATCCTTAAGAAATCCGCTCCTTGTGTTGGTCCTTAAGAAATCCACGCCTTGTGTTGGTCCTTAAAAAATCCATGCTTTGTGTTGGCCCTCAAAAAATCACGCCTTGTGTTGGTCCTTTAAAAAATCACGCCTTGTGTTGGTCCTTAAAAAATCCACGCCTTGTGTTGGTCCTTAAAAAATCACGCCTTGTGTTGGTCCTTAAAAAATCCACGCCTTGTGTTGGTCCTTAAAAAATCTACGCCTTGTGTTGGTCCTTAAAAAATCCACGCTTTGTATTGGTCATCAAAAATCCACGCCTTTGTTGGTCCTTAAGAAATCCACGCCTTGTGTTGGTCCTTAAAAAATCCACGCTTTGTGTTGGTCATCAAAAATCCACGCCTTGTGTTGGTCCTTAAAAAATCACGCCTTGTGTTGGTCCTTTAAAAAATCACGCCTTGTGTTGGTCCTCGAAAAAAACTATTTTAATAAACCCACGCCTATAATAGTCCTCGAAAAAAAAAATATTTTAATAAATCCACGCCTATAACAGTACTCGAAAAATTATTTTAAAAAAAAATCCTCGCCTATAATAGCCTTGTAAAATAATTTTCAAAAGTCCACCCTGAATAATGTCGCTCTTATTATTATGTTTGTCCTGCTGACCTATATTCCATTTTTCATTTTTATGAGGAAACAATAAATATTTTAATGAAAAGCGACTTCCGTACTTCGCTTAATAAAAGTAAATACAAATACCACATTTGTTACCCTGCAATTAAACTAAAGCGAAATTAAATATTGACCCACCAATAACACTTTGCGTACCCAATATGACTGTCAATATGTATGTAGCTCGGCAAGAGGACCTCAAAACAAAAACACATAAATAAAAAATGTCAACATATTAGCAACAAAAACATTAACAATAGTGTATTCAATTAATTAATTAAGCGTTGGCAGTGAACTAGTGATACCATCATCACCATAAGTCATGACCATACGAATAACAATAACCGGAATAAACTATGGATCCGGAAAGAAACCATTTAGTTGAACTTGAAAACTTTTCCGTGTAATAAGAACCCGTTCGGCAATGTCATTCATTCCACAGTGTCTTCGAATTTTACTACACGATTTGCATCGGCCGGGAGATGTCTACGGTTGTTATCGTTTAATGTTTCTGCTCGGCCTAATTGCTGGAATTGTTCCATTCGAATTTCACTCCCATCCTAGGAGACATTTAAAAAATACTATGCTTGGATATGGAAATGCTTTGTTGCGTATAATATTCTATATCCTTATTTTTGGCTACATTAGGGGTCATGAACAATCTCTGTTGAGCCATTTCTTCGAAACCGAAGTATCGCGTCTAACAGACAACTTGCAGAAATACAATGGAATGTCCTGTGTCCTCGCGATATTGTTTTATTGTTTGGTGCGAAGTAAATATTTGATACACCTTGTGGAACAATTTGAATGGATTGAATTGAGATTTTCACGTTTAAGTGTTCGATTTGTGCAGAAGAATTATGCAGCATGGATAAATTTGAGAATTGTTGTGATGCTGCTCGCCAATATTGGTTTTGTTTTATATGGTTCGCTGGGTGTATTTATGCGGAATGGGGTTTCGATATCTGCCATGACCACAATTTCGTTTTATTCACCTATATTGGTGGTTAGTTGTGTGGTTGTCATATTCAGTTCGATATTGGAGAAATTAATTACTTATTTGAAGGTTAATAATAAGGTAATGACAATATAAGAGATTCAGATTATTATCGGAATTTTTTTGCATGAATATATTGTTACGTTCTTGGATTTTACTTAATCCCGTGTAGACGTTGTTTTATTCCCCGATACAGTTCGTACCAAATAAAACGCGGGTTCTTTCGGATTACGATTATTACAATGATTTTATTCACACAACTTTACTTTGCACTTTACTTTACTCGACGGTTTCAATTCGCGATCTGATTCACAACTGACTAACTGCCTTTCCATTTCCTCTATTTATATGAGTCTTGCCTGTCGCTACAGAAGTTTCTAGACGATCTGGTAACACCTAGATTACGAACAATCTACCAATGCATACAACTACATTGAGTGAACAATAACAACAACAAACTTACATTGAGTGAACAAACTTACAATAACAACAACACATATACAGGCGAGAGAGTAACAAAGAAAGAGGGATTAAGCGATCATCAATGATGACGTTTAACAAGAATTGTACGACAATAACAAAATAGAAAATGAAAGAGGAAATGGAAGGATGTAGAAAAATCTATACAGTAGTTGTTGTTGTGAAGTTATTCAAATAAACTTCGTAGTACAAATTTAAGTTTCAATTCAAATTCTTAAATTAACGGAATTCATCTAAATTAACTTAAATCTAAAGTTATATTCGTAACAATATATTTAAATGATTTTTATACAACACTTCTAGGAATTTTAAAATATTTCCCAAAAATTAGCAACTATTTTAGTTCTTTTAAAAATATTCTTTAAAAATTCTTAAAAACTCGTTTGCTACCTAAAATTTTGGTACTCATGAAATTGGAACACTTTTAGACCCTCTGAAATAATCCTTAAAGTTTGGCATCTCTTTAAGCCCTTCTGAAATATTACCTAAAACTTGGCATCTCTTTAAACCCTTAAAAATAAGGGATCTAAAAAATAGCCTTAAAATAAACTACGCCTCCATTTGACTACTAAAAATAGTTTTAAAATAAACTACGCCTCCATTTGACTACTAAAAATAGTTTTAAAATAAACTACGCCTCCATTTGACTACTAAAAATAGTTTTAAAATAAACTACGCCTCCATTTGACTACTAAAAATAGTTTTAAAATAAACTACGCCTCCATTTGACTACTAAAAATAGTTTTAAAATAAACTACGCCTCCATTTGACTACTAAAAATAGTTTTAAAATAAACTACGCCTCCATTTGACTACTAAAAATAGTTTTAAAATAAACTACGCCTCCATTTGACTACTAAAAATAGTTTTAAAATAAACTACGTCTCCATTTGACTACTAAACAAAGCCTTAAAATAAACCACGCCTCCATTTGACTACTAAAAATAGTCTTAAAATAAACCACGCCTCCATTGGCCTACTAAACATACCCTTAAAATAAACCACGCCTCCATTTGACTACTAAAAATAGTTTTAAAATAAACTACGTCTCCATTTGACTACTAAAAAAAGCCTTAAAATAAACCACGCCTCCATTTGACTACTAAAAATAGTCTTAAAATAAACCACGCCTCCATTGGCCTACTAAACATAGCCTTAAAATAAACCACGCCTCCATTTGACTACTAAAAATAGTTTTAAAATAAACTACGCCTCCATTGGCCTACTAAACATAGCCTTAAAATAAACCACGCCTCCATTTGACTACTAAAAATAGTCTTAAAATAAACCACGCCTCCATTGGCCTACTAAACATAGCCTTAAAATAAACCACGCCTCCATTTGACTACTAAAAATAGTTTTAAAATAAACTACGTCTCCATTTGACTACTAAAAATAGTTTTAAAATAAACCACGCCTCCATTGGACTACTAAAAATATTATTTAAAATAAACCACGCCTCCATTTGACTACTAAAAATAGTCTTAAAATAAACTACGCCTCCATTTGACTACTAAAAATAGTTTTAAAATAAACTACGCCTCCATTTGACTACTAAAAATAGTTTTAAAATAAACTACGCCTCCATTTGACTACTAAAAATAGTTTTAAAATAAACTACGCCTCCATTTGACTACTAAAAATAGTTTTAAAATAAACTACGCCTCCATTTGACTACTAAAAATAGTTTTAAAATAAACTACGCCTCCATTTGACTACTAAAAATAGTTTTAAAATAAACTACGCCTCCATTTGACTACTAAAAATAGTTTTAAAATAAACTACGTCTCCATTTGACTACTAAAAATAGTTTTAAAATAAACCACGCCTCCATTGGACTACTAAAAATAGTCTTAAAATAAACCACGCCTCCATTTGACTACTAAAAATAGTCTTAAAATAAACTACGCCTCCATTTGACTACTAAAAATAGTTTTAAAATAAACTACGCCTCCATTTGACTACTAAAAATAGTTTTAAAATAAACTACGCCTCCATTTGACTACTAAAAATAGTTTTAAAATAAACTACGCCTCCATTTGACTACTAAAAATAGTTTTAAAATAAACTACGCCTCCATTTGACTACTAAAAATAGTTTTAAAATAAACCACGCCTCCATTTGACTACTAAAAATAGTTTTAAAATAAACTACGTCTCCATTTGACTACTAAAAATAGTTTTAAAATAAACCACGCCTCCATTGGACTACTAAACAAAGCCTTAAAATAAACCACGCCTCCATTTGACTACTAAAAATAGTCTTAAAATAAACCACGCCTCCATTGGCCTACTAAACATAGCCTTAAAATAAACCACGCCTCCATTTGACTACTAAAAATAGTTTTAAAATAAACTACGTCTCCATTTGACTACTAAAAATAGTTTTAAAATAAACCACGCCTCCATTGGACTACTAAAAATAGTCTTAAAATAAACCACGCCTCCATTTGACTACTAAAAATAGTCTTAAAATAAACTACGCCTCCATTTGACTACTAAAAATAGTTTTAAAATAAACCACGCCTCCATTCGACTATTTAAAAGTCTTAAAATAAACCACGCCTCCATTGGACTACTAAAAATAGTCTTAAAATAAACCACGCCTCTATTAGCCACTGAAAAGTATTCTAAAATTAAACCACGCCTCTATTAGCCAATAAAAAATATTCTTAAAGTAGAGCACACCTCTAGTAGCCAATAAAAAATATTCTTAAAATAAACCACGCCTGTATTAGCCAATAAAAAACATTTTTAAAGTAGACCACGCCTCTATTAGCCAATAAAAAATATTCTTAAAGTAGACCACGCCTCTAGTAACCAATAAAAAATATTCTTAGAGTAGAGCACACCTCTAGTAGCCAATAAAAAATATTCTTTAAATAAACCACGCCTCTATTAGTCACTAAAAATATTCTTAAACTTTTTTTTGAAAAGGACCTTCCGTACTTCGAGCTATAAATATAAATACCAATGTGATTATAAATACAATGTGTTACCCTGCAATTAAAACTAAAGCGAAATTAAATATTTACCCAACAGTAACACCTTTGGTACTGAATATGACTGTCAATATACACGTATGTACCTCGTCAAAAGGACAACCATAAAAAACAAAAAAATGAATAACAACAAAAACAATTAACAAATGTTTATTCAATTAATTAATTAAGCATTGGTGATGAGCGAGTAATACTTGAGCGAGTGATACTATCATCACCATATGTCATGACCATTCGAATAATAAAAACCGGAATAAACTATGGATCCGGAAAGAAACCATTTAGTTGAACTTGAAAACTTTTCCGTGTAATAAGAACCCGATCGGCAATGTCATTCATTCCACAGTCTCTACGAATATTTCTGCACGATTTGCATCGGCCGGGAGATGTGTACGGTTGTTATCGTTTAATGTTTCTGCTCGGTCTAATTGCTGGAATTGTACCATTCGAATTTCATTCCCACCCGAGGAGGCATTTAAAAAATACCATCCTTGGATATGGAAATGCTTTGTTGCGTATAATATTCTATATCCTCGTTTTTGGCTACATTAGGGGCCATGAACAATCGCTGTTGAGTCATTTCTTCGAAACCGAAGTATCGCGTCTAACAGACAATTTGCAAAAATTCAATGGCATGTCCTGCGTCTTGATGATATTATTTTTTTGTTTAGTGCGAAGTAAACCTTTGATAAACCTTGTGGAACAATTCGAATGGATTGAATTGAGATTTTCACGTTTGAGTGTTCGATTTATGCAAAGGAATTGTGCTGCTTGGATAAATTTGAAAATTGTTCTGATGCTGCTAGCCAATATTGGTTTTATTTTGTATGGTTCGCTGGGTGTATTTATGCGGAATGGGGTTTCGATATCTGCCATGACCACAATATCGTTTTATTCACCTATTTTGGTGGTTAGTTGTGTGGTTGTAATATTCAGTTCGATATTGAAGAAATTAAATACTTATTTGAAGGTTAATAATAAGGTAATGAAAATACGAGTTTGTTAAAATTTTATTAGAATAAATCAAGCCTCTTTGAAGGATCCCAAAAAGTTATTACAATAAACCAAGCCTCTTGTAGGCATCTAAAAATTTTTATATAAACCACGCCTCTTGAAAGGCACCTAAAAAATTAATATAATGTAGACCCTCCCTTTGAAGGGTCTTTTAAAATATTCTTAAAATAAACCACTCCTCTCCGAAGTCGTTTAAAATATTTTTAAAACAGACCACGCCTCTCCGAAGTCGTTTAAAATACTCCTAAAACAAACCACGCCTCTCCGAAGTCGTTTAAAATATTCATAAAACAAACCACAGCTCTACGAAGACGTTTAAAATATTCTTAAAACAAACCACACCTCTCCGAAGTCATTTAAAATGTTCTTAAAATAAACCACGCCTCTTTGAAGGTTCTAAAAATGTTCTCAAAATAAACCACGCCTCTTTGAAGGTTCTAAAAATGTTCTTAAAATAAACCACGCCTCTTTGAAGGTTCTAAAAATGTTCTTAAGATAAACCACGCCACTTTGAAGGTTCTAAAAATGTTCTTAAAATAAACCACGCCTCTTTGAAGGTTCTAAAAATGTTCTTAAAATAAACCACGCCTCTTTGAAGGTTCTAAAAATGTTCTTAAAATAAACCACACCTCTTTGAAGGTTCTAAAAATGTTCTTAAAATAAACCACACCTCTTTGAAGGTTCTAAAAATGTTTTTAAAATAAACCACGCCTCCATTAGCCTCAAAAAATATTCTTAAAAAAAGGGTCTACAAATATTCTTAAAATAAATAAATATTCTAAAATATTCCTCAAAGAAAACAACGCCTCTTTGAAGGGCCTAAAAATATTCCTAAAATAAACCACGCCTCTTTGAAGGGTCTAAAAATATTCTTAAAATAAACCAGTCGTCTTTGAAGGGTCTTAAAATATTATTTTTCGATTCTCCTAAAATATTACATAAAACGAGTGTCTCATCTTAAACCATTCCTTTATTATTTTCAAAATTAATACTAATTTTTTATCCTCTCTTTTTCTCCTACAGGTCCTCAAAAATCTCAGCCATCAATGGGACACACGCAGCATTAAGGCCATTACCCAAAAACAACGTTCCCTACAATGCTTGGACTCCTTCTCCATGTATACCATAGTTTCGAAAAATCCCTCGGAAATCATACAAGAATCTATGGAAATACATCAGCTAATTTGTGAAGCAGCATCGACAGCCAATAAATATTTTACCTATCAACTACTGACCATAATTTCAATTGCATTCCTGATCATTGTTTTTGATGCCTATTATGTCCTTGAAACACTCCTGGGTAAATCGAAACGAGAGAGTAAATTTAAAACTGTGGAATTTGTCACCTTCTTCTCCTGTCAAATGATTTTGTATTTGATTGCAATCATTTCCATTGTCGAGGGCAGTAATCGGGCAATTAAGAAGGTGAGTTGGAGGGTTTACAATTTTTTTTCTCGGACAATTATAAATAATACATTTTTTGTATCATTGCAGAGCGAAAAGACGGGCGGTATTGTCCATGCTCTATTGAATAAAGCCAAAACCCCTGAAGTCAAGGAGAAGCTACAACAATTCTCAATGCAACTGTTGCATTTGAAAATAAGTTTTACCGCTGCTGGCCTATTTAACATCGATCGAACGCTATATTTTACGGTAAGAATGATAATTGTCTCCTTAAAGGACAATTTTCTTATTGGAATTTTCTTTTATTCAATTTCTGTAGATAAGCGGTGCCCTAACCACATATCTCATCATTTTGCTGCAATTCACTTCAAGTGGCCCTCAGAGTCTCTGCGATAATGGAAATTCGACGGCTATTGCAAATTTAACGCAACATTAGTGTGCAACATCTATTTTATGTATATTATTAATTTCTATATTTCTATTTTTTATTTTGTTAAATGTGATTTAAGCTATTATCATTAAAATGAAAGAATAAAAAATAAATAAATATTTTGAAAAATAAATTATATTTTATCTACCATACTTTTTTGTTGTATTTTTTGAAAATATTTGGTTTAGGAGAAAAAAATCTTGAATAAAATTCAGGTCAACCCATAATATCTTCTACAAACATAGCGCATTAACACCTATATACGTATACGTAATATTTTTTATAATTGTTCTCAATACTTATACCACCCGGTGGAGAAATATTCAAATGAATTTAATGAGAAAACAAAACACTAAATTCTATAATTTTAGATTGTAAAATTTGATATGCTTCTTCAACATGCCGAAAATAGGAAATACACTGAGACTATTTCAATACATGGACATATATCTAATTTTCTGCATAAATGATGTCCGCCCTTGTAGAACCCGGAATGCAAAATTACAGCCACTTCGGTTCGAAACTGTGAATAAAGTAGCCTTAAAAAACATAAAGTGGGGTGGAAATGTATGAAAAAGTGAATACATTACAAATAATGAACCTTATGGTGATCCCTACACGATGATAACCAACTACGATATATTCAAAAAAGCAGTTTATCGATCTTCTAAGAAGCAGCACCCTTCCTACTTTTTATACCCTCAACATAAGGTTGACTAATGAGGGTATTGGTTTTAGAACCCATTTTCTGTGGACCAAATGCCTTTTAGACAATTTAGAGTCGATTTATAAATGTCCGTCCATATGTATATTTGTCTGGACGGCTGGTGCACACGAACTTTGCACATCTTAATATTTCTTTCAAACTTAGTTCAAGTTTGAAGCCAAGTCTAAAAGAGCTGATTGATACTAATATCGACGGAAGGAAGGAATACACAACTTCATCGGTTGGAAGATAAGTAAAATACATATCATGAACGAACACTTTGAAAAATGGAGCTGAACGATAGAGGGAAGATTCTTTGAATGGAATCCCCAAGGACCACGAAATAAAGGTCGACCAAAAACCACCTGGCGACGAGGAATAACTCTTGAACTACGTCAAAATAAGAGGAATGCATGCCCAATGATTGACGATATGTTCCAACTATATCGTCCCATCGCATATAAGGTGCTATCCAGCATGGTGTGTGAACGACTGAAGCCAATGGTCAATCACATTATTGGACCATACCAATACGGCTTCAGACCTGGCAAATCCACCATAGACATATCGACACATTCCACCAATTCGTCGACTATAAAGCCGAATTCGACAGCCCTATCCGTTCAGAGGTTTTTAAAACCATGTCTGCGTTCGGCATTACTGCAAAATTAATACGGCTATGCAGGATAACTTTAACTGGCATAAGGTCAGCAGTTAAAGTCGGGAAGGATTTCTCGGAGCCCTTTAATATTAAACGAGAGTTCAGGCATTGCGACAGCCTCTCGTGTGACCTTTTTAAATTGCTGCTGAAGGTCCAACGAGAGGCAAAGATTAACATAAATGACACTCTGTACACCAATCAACGAAGACATCGACATAATGGGCCGGACATTGCGGCCCATTGAACAACTTGAGGAGTCTGTCAAAGTGGGTCTTGTAGTGTTTGGCGAGAAGACCAAGCTGGTGGTATCAATGGGCAAGACGTCCAGTAGACTCGGACCAACTGTAGAACTTGAAAACTACAGCTTCGATAGTCAAAGATTTTATATACATCGGTACCGCCATGAATAAAACTAATGACATCAGTTTTAAACTTCGGAGGAGGACCCTGTTGGCCAACGGGTGCTACTATGGTCTAAGTAAGCAGTTTAGAAAAATAAGATCACCTCTCGCCAGGACAAACTCACACTCTACAAGACGCTGATACTACCCGTACTGGTGTGTGAATCAAAAGCATGGATAAATCCGCAAGCAGACGAGATAGCTCTTGGAGTGTTTGAGAGAAAAAATTCTCCGGAAGATCTATGGGCCGATCTGCATGGATGGCGAAAATCGCCGTCGAATGAAAAATGTTCTCGGACATCGACTTACGACTACGTTGGCTAGGCCATCTTGTGAGAATGGATGAAGATGCCCCAGCTCAGCATATAAAAGCGATCCAAGTGATGGTTCACGCAGAAGTGGAGTCCGAATCCGATGGAAAGATCAAGTAGAAGACAACATATCGGAAAATGGTCTTTCAAATTGGATGAGATGCGCACACGACCGACGCGCCAGTAAATCTTTTTTTAGGCTCTGCTTATGGAACCACCGTTCTGGCATAAGCCAGCTAAGTAGGTAAGTATATACATGGATAGGGAAGTTCTGCGTTGTTATTTAAGTGGGTTTAAGAGTTCTGATATTGTTTGGTATTACCGTTACCATACTAAATGAAGTTCCGGTTAATGTCAAGGACGACGTATATAATTTTAGGTGATGGCATAAAATGGACCGAAAACTTTATTTTTGTATGTGTTGTCAGGTTACTTTATAAGCAACATTTATTAGCCGAACATCACAACACAACAATTAGAATGGCTATTTTTATAATTATCTGTCAATATTCCGCGGTTCAAACTAACCGAACATGCTATGGGCTATGAAAGTATAAAGAAAAAAAAAGATATTGCCAATTTGTGTGGTATGTGCTTAAAGTAGTGGATTTATTGGACCACTTTCGTAATCTATTTAGATTTACCATTTTTAAAGTTGTTGTAAATCGCTTGGAGAAGGAGCAAACCGATAGACCGCATCTGCGGATAATATTTAGATTTCGTAAAAAAGTTATTTTTGTGCGAAGTTGGGGTCAAGTCGAATAAAAAAACCTTCATATTAGATTTTATAAAGGATTTCAAAGAATGTTTATCGAATATATTACGATGTATAGAGTTGTTAATAAATCGGATACTCCGTTCACATCTTGTGGAGAATGAGGTGTGGATCAATAATTCCCATCTTCGAACATGATATAGTTTTGGTAAAAATATTACGTTACATTATACGTAAAGACGTATAATCCTTTCACAGGATATAAGAAATTTGTTGTTTAGAACAATGTTTACCCTTTGTATTGGAGGAACTATAATGAGAGGTCAGATATTCTTCATCTTCACAGATAATTTAATTTTCAAAGAGATATTACGATGTTCAAAGTTTGGATTAAATTTGCAACTTCTTTCGAGAATTACCGTGCGCACCAACCAGCTTGACAGGCATTCACGAACCGGATAGAGAGTATTTTCTATGGGGTTTCTAATAATGAATATTTTACTTAAATTGATTTAGAACGGTTTTTTTTTTCAAAAAAAAAAGCGGAAATTTTCTGGTATGAGGCACTCAGCATCCGTAAATCTAGTGTTAAGAAAACTTCAGACGAAGTCTAACCCTTGAAGTTCCCCATAAAAATATTAATATTTTAAATCTTCGTGAAATATCAACTGACATTTATAATTTTATTTGTAAAAAACAATAAAAAATAAATACATTTAAGAATACTTCTTCTGCAGTTTTTAAACACAGCTTTTTAAATTTCGAAAATATTTCATTCAATATAACAATACTGTAAAATATGTCAGTATACTATCATTTCATTTCTCACATCAATTAGGCACATGTCATGTGTTGTGTTTTATATGTCAGAGTTGATTATTCCTTCATAGTGCTTTTGATCGGCTACCGAACATTTGTCACAGGATTAACTGTTGATTCTTTTTAACATTGTTTATAATCCACCGCAGTCCTTTTATTTTCTTAATTCTCTTCCCTTTACATTGTAGAAATTGTAAACAGCCTTTAAATTTAATCGAATGGCATTTAACACTTTAATAACGGTTAAATTTTATGCGAAATTTTACTATAAAATTGTTCTCACTTTCTCCTCCCATGTCATTATACCTTTTTTAAAGTGCTTGGGTCACATGCTGACCTCTACACCTAGTTGACACAATACCAACCGTTCGTTCGCTTGTCTGTCAATATATTTGTCTGATAGCGTAATTTAATAAACAATGCATTTTTATGGAGCATTCATTCTTCTTCGTCTTTGACGAAGTATTTTTTTTTCAGTTAAACGGTAACATAATACAATAGAAATATTTACCACACGGATGTCATGCCGATACACATTCCTTTACTCATACACACATTCACACACGCACCCAAACAAACACATTCGTTGTGGTAAAATTATGATTGTTTTTGCGTCTTCCTAGAAATTCAATTTGTTATGTGGAGTGGTTCATGGAGGTAATTAACCGGCAGGTTATAAGTAGTTGTTGATATTTTGCTATCAGTCATCAGCAACAGTAAGGGTTGAAATTATAGCAAAGGGTAAATAATAAAAGAGGCGATTCAAATTACATAAATAATCACAAATATTGTTTAAGGATTATAACAAGGTGTGAATTTATATTCAAAACATTTTTAAGGACTTTTACTAAGCGTGAATTTGTTTAAATATGTTTTCAAGGACTATCACAAGCCGTGTATTTTTTAAACATATTTTTTCAAGGACTACCACAAGGCGTGTATTTTTTAAAGAATATTTTTTCAAGGACCAACACAAGGCGTGGATTTTTTAAACATATCTATTCAAGGACTACCACAAGGCGTAGATTTTTTAAAGAATATTTTTTCAAGGACTACCACAAGGCTTAGATTTTTTAAACATATCTTTTCAAGGACTACCACAAGGCATGGATTTTTTAAACATATCTTTCCAAGGACTACCACAAGGCGTAGATTTTTTAAACATATTTTTTCAAGGACTACCACAAGGCGTACATTTTTTAAACATATTTTTTCAAGGACTACCACAAGGCGTGGATTTTTTAAACAGTGGATTTTTTAAACATATCTATTCAAGGACTACCACAAGGCGTGGATTTTTTAAAAAAATATTTTTTCAAGGACTATCACAAGGCGTGGATTTTTTAAAAAAATATTTTTTCAAGGTCTATCACAAGGCGTGGATTTTTAAAAA